TGTGATATTTTCCTATATGCATATCTGCATGAAGATTTGTCTATGATGTATAGTTTTGATTGATGAACGTTGATTAGTACAAGAAATGTATTTTGAAATTTTTGGGACATGTATTCTGTATGGTAAATTCTTGTACTAAGGGAACAGACAGTGGTATATAAACATGTATTTCTTCCATATGAAGTATGTGTTACATGCAATGTGTGTTATGGAGAGTTACGAATCAAGTGTTGACTTTAGAAAAAGATTTATTCCTTATTTGACATTTTATCGAAAGATTTGTTGTTCTTTCCAGATTTGAGGGTGTTACAAGTTGGTATCAAAACATAATTTTGAGAGATTTAGGTATTGATTTTAAGATGTAAAACATTTTTCTAAGTGAATAAAATTGAAAATGTATGATTACACACTTTAGGATATGATATTTTGAGGTTGATGGATACACTAGCATCAGGAATCATGACAATAGTAACAAGGATCCTCATGTATGGTATGTTCGTATTTGCACCTGACCAATGTTAATATGAATTTGGGTACATCTAGGTTGGAGGGGGGTAAAATTAATCCTTGTTTATACATCGAGCCAAGAGCACCTTCATTCCTATATAAAATGCTTGAATTTCCGTTTTTGTGATGATCGATGGGGTAGTGATGAATCCTTAGTGATTATCCTTTGAAGAATTGATGTTTTTAGCATTGCGTAACACCTCATACCACACATTGCATGCAATACATACTTCATACACAAGAAATACATGTTTATATATCACATAGGTCCCTTAGTACAAGAATCTACCAATACAGAATACATGGTCCAAAAATTCAAAATACAATTCTTGTATTATTCCACGTTTATCTAACGAAACTATACATATCATAGACAAATCTTCATGCAAATATGTATAAAGGAAAATATTACATTTTCCTCTTTCCCTTATCGTCTGCACCTCCTGCAACACATATTTAAAATCACAAAACGAGGGTTAGACCGAAAGGTCTAGTGAGTTATCCTTTTATGATATTGCAGGGTGAGAATCATCAAAACTTTATGAAAAATAACTTTTCATATATATATATAACAAATATATAAACAAGTAAAACATATTACCAATACTTTTCCACTTTTCAAGCCAATCTCTTTGCTTTCAGATAATTCATCAAAACCCAAATAGGTTTGTACTAACCGGGTTTATCACAATGCCACTTTTAAACCTTTTCAATTAAACAAGGTTTATTCAAAGTTTCAGGCTAAACCTGTTATTTCCTTCTCAATAACATCCAGACTACGATTTCCAATAAGAACTCTGATTCTAAATCGTTAAATCACAAAGAAATAAATATTTCAAATCACAGCAATCTTAAAAGATATAGTAGTAAGAGTTACATTACACATCACCCATACAAATGTCATCCTTATATCCAAAGGTACACCTCTCCTTGATATGACACCCTTATCCCATGGTACACCTCTCCTTGATATGTCACCTTATTTTCTCATCAAAACATTCAACAAAAATAATTTCATATAAAACAGACCTCAGTCATAAATGTCCCAATGGAATATCATCAGTTCAAAATCATCTTTATAAAAAATTCCTATTCTTTTTAAAAGAATATTAAAATGATGATTTATACGAACCATATAAAAGTCAATGTATAAATTCGGTCAACATAGACTTGGCCAGACTTCATCTCCGGTCAAGCCTTGGCCGGTTTAATAAATCCGGACAACACAAACCACATGTCCGATTTATATGTCCGGACAACTCTCTTGTCCGATTTAACCAATCCGGACAACACTAATCAACTTGTCCGATTTATCAATCCGGACAACACTCTCACAAAGCTTTGTCCGATTTATGAATCCGGACAAACTTGGTATTTAACTCGATCAAGTCTTGTCCGATTTATAACTAGTCCGGACAACACATCACTCGGATTATAAACATATCGGACAACTTGATCGTATTCCTACTTCTCCGTTCAATATCCTTAATCGATTAATATATTTCAAATCCCACTAACACTTTAAATCGCATAACACTGTGTTCGATTTGAGACTACACCGGACAACACGTGTCCGATTTAACCTAAACCGGACGTCCTTTTGTTCCATTTAAGTCTAAACCGGGTAAACAAGTTTTTAAAACAAAACATTAATCAAACCAAAGAATTACTTTTCATATGTAACAAGATGATAAAACCACTCACCTTGAAAAGTACTCTTGAAGATCACTAAAAATCCAATCAATAAGCAAATCCAGACAGCCTCTCTTAGATAAATCTCAAATCTTATAATAACCAAGAGATTAAAATGGAAAGGTTGAACCCCCTTTATACCTTTCCCAAATAGGAAGCTCGGCTATTATAGCCTCCTTTATGCATACTCACACTTAAAATCATGCATACATGCATGTAAACTCATGCACACACCCACATGCATATTCACATCATATATGCATGTAAACTCATGCACACACCCACATGCATATTCACATCATATATATATATATATATATATATATACATATGCATTTGCATTTCATCAAGCATGTATGTTTATGCTAATTAAACTCATGTATATTCACACACTCGCATGATCAAATATAACAATTTATCATGCTAATATGTAATCATATGACAAATAATCACGTATTAATTACCTCAGGTGATAACCAGGATCCGGTTATCACACATTGTCACTTTGAGTGACAATTAAGTATAGTGATTACGTTAAGCCGACTATTGCAAGCCAAAAATATTGTTTAAGTTTGAACCATAGGCTTGTTGAATCATCTTTATTTGAGGAAGAAATTGTAAGGTTAATCGACTCAGTGGTGGATATCATCTCAAGATATTTGAGTTTTCCAATGTCGGTCATGTGACTAGTAGACTTGGTGAGCGTAGTTTTAAGACTTAGGGTCTCTACCAAATGCATGCATGATATTTATTTCCACAATAAATTACATTAATTATTTCATGCTTGTCAAAACTTTCATACCTATCAAGTTACTAATTTTGGAGAATGTTTGGCACACACGAGAGCATAACCCATGTTTTGAAAATTCCTAAATTGTTTTGTTACATAAGATTTGCATAAAAATTCCATTAGGAGTTTTCTTCATGCTATTTTTGCTAGTATTGTAATTTATAACATATTGTTAGGTAGTTTAAATTTGAAACTGACATGACTTGTTCCATTTCTTAGCCAAAATACATGCCTTTATTTTGTTACCAGTTTGAGAGGTAAATCGATGCATGTAAGAGTTGGTTTGAGTTTAGAAATGCATAAAGCTACTTTTGTTTATCAAAAGGTTTTTAACCTAACGGTATGTGAGTTTTTGGCCTACCAAGAGGTCAATGATTCAAATTTCACCAAAGATGAGAAGGGTATATGAGTTTATTTGTTTTATTTTATAATTATGAAAATGAAACATCATTAGAGATAAAGTAGTACCCTTTAATGCATGGGTCCACCATATGCACTTGTAAGAAGATTGATCACAGAAAAACTTGCATCTTGTGTTCTTCCGTCATTCTAATACCTAGAGACTGTATATTAATCTGGATTTAATAATTATAAGGCTTAAATATATTTCATAACATCAAGATCCAATTGCTAAACCTTATTTTCATTTACAGAATCAAGATTCTTTACTCATGTTCTTATCAGTAACACTATCCAATGGCTTCAGTAAACTGTAAGTAACAGCCATGGAAATCCATCCTCCAACCAGCACCCGGGCCGCCGAGGCCCTCACAGAAGACCCACCCACAAACGCCCCGATCCCGCCAAACAAAACTAATGCTACCGACGTCACCACTGCCACCGCAACGATTCTAGCAGTATAGTCTTTGACCGCCATAGCTGACACCAATGGAAACAAAGAACCACACAGGAACGCCAATGCAGATGCTGCTCCAGCCTTGAAAGGATTCGGCAGCCCTTCTTTCTCATCTTTTTTGGTCTTTTCTCGAGCATCCATCAGCACCACCTTCAAAACCGGAGATCTTCCAGGAGATGGGACTGCAGGAATGTATGTTTCAACGATGGTTTTATCATTCTTCGGGATTTCAAGCTTGATTTCTTGTAAATTTGAGTTTTCCTTCGATAGATATTCTTGATTCACAGCTAGCTCAATATCTCTTTGAGTTGCAACAGAAACAAATTCACCAACCGCCATGCTGCAAGCACCAGCCACGGCTCCGGCTATACCAGAAAGGATCATGAACCATTGATCTTCTTGGGCAGCACCCACACCCATCATAAGAGACGTGGTGGATAGTAATCCATCGTTAGCTCCCAAAATGGCGGCCCGAAGCCATTGGGCTCGCTGCAATTGCTCCCCTCGGCTAACTTTTTTCTTAACGACCCCTGTTACAGGTAGCGTGTGCTCACCACAATCCTGAACCATTTTAGAATGTCGAAAGATAGATTATGTACAACACTTTTGGGAGTGTGGCTTCCTTGCTTAAGCCACACTCTCATATTCAAACAATATATAAATTTCAGAATGGCTTGAAAACGACTTGAACCTTAGGCGGTATCGTACAAAATTCCAAGTTGTTGGAAGAACCAATAGAGAAAGTGTCATTTGACTTCTTGTTCAAACGTTAGTAATTGCAACGGTTACATAAAAAAAGGTCAAACCTTCGGGGCAACCGCTATATTTTCCTCACTGTTATCTTCAGGACCCCATTAGATCAGTTGAGGTGCACGCGAGCTGGTCTAGACACCCACGATTACAAAAAAAAAACAGTTACATATATACAATTTTACCATGATATACGGGTAGGTTATGGTAAAAACGGATAAGAGGGTTAAGGACAAAGGTACTTCAACTTAGAGATAACCGTTGTGGGAAAGACAAAAACGCTCATCCTTAAAAGATGCTAAACAACCGAACAAATAGAAATATACGAACGCTCATTCTTTAAGATACTAAGCAACAAACAGATAGAAATATACGAATTGTTATGAAAGCAACAACATTGAAATCCATAAGCTACGTGTCATATGAACAAATTCAAGAATTTTTCCTAGAATTGAACATAATTAAAATAAGATAAATCTTTAGTCCAGCAGATTATATGTGATGCCAAAGTATAGTTAACACCATAACCTAGGTACCTCGTGAAATCCAAGAAGAAAACGGCTAAATTTTCGGCCTCAAAGTGCCCAATTCGATCAATGCCAACATCAAGAATTATCCCGACTGATTACTTGTGGAATAACTATAAGACGTCCCAAAATTTCTACCTCAAACTGCATCTTTTCTAGTACAACATCAAGAATCAGCCCGACTGACTTCTTGCCAATAAATCGAATATTTCCACATCAAAAAACCGACCTTTTTCATTAATAAAAATCAAGAACCAAGAATCCATATCAAATAAATGTATGGCCAACAATTGAGAAACGATATGAACAATTGACCTAACGATAACCATCTCTTCTGTCTTGCTCCTCTGCCTCCTTATTCGCAACTTCAACAGATTTGAACCAAAGGAATGCCTGTTTTTCTAACTCATGTTAGTTTTTAGCTAATCTGGATCAATCCACAAATCATATTCTCATTCTAAATGAGATAGTTATGCTTAATAACTTGATAACGAGAAACTAAACAGCCATCCATCTACATTTGACACTTAAAAGAATCATATAAACTACTAAATTGACCAAAAGACAAGGTCAAAACCAGTCAGAGTGCCAAAGAATCCGGTATACGTACGTAATTCATCATCATTACAAGATTCTAGACCAGCAATACAGTTTTGAAATCCAAATTATGTCCGTTTTCTAACGATTCCAACCACAAACAGTCATGGAATCAGTGTGCCCCTATTGGGTTGATAAAATGTAAGGAATCATACGGGTTTTATCTCAAAATCAATTGGGAACAAATGGATTGACTCAAGATCATGTATTTTGACGAATCATTTGGATTTTACCCAAATTTTACACAGGAACTTTCTAGAAGTCAAACAAGCATCAAGAAGATATTAAATAAGTATGGACGAGCACAAACTTACAGCAGTTGGAAGACCAGTAAATGCAAAGAATCCAAGAACTGGTGCATAAAATATGCTATCCGAATTCAACACTCCGAAAACTGGCTTTTGATTCACATACTCAAAAACGGATCCAATCTAGAACACCAGAGAAAAACCCCAATTCAATTCTTATTGATTCAATCACAACGAACTAAATAATTGAGATTCAAAAAACCCAACAGAGAGAAGAAGCTTACAGCAGCAATGGCGGTGATAGCAGAAGCAAGCAAGTAGACAAAAAATGGGAGCTCCGAATTAGATGAAGATGATGCTTGCTGGGTTTCATTACGGGCCCATGGAGGAGGTTCTTCGGAGTCGGGTTTGGCCCATGAAGGAGTCGATTGTTCTTCTTCTCCTTTAACAGCAAATACAGTTAACCTGCTATTATTCATCTTGGGATGGTTTCTAAGGGTGAAAATTGAGTAAGTTTTTAGGGATTTTGGGAACCCGGATAAGGTAACAAGAGATGGGTTCCATGGAAGATTTTGGTTTAAAGATCTGCCATGAATGGGTGGGTGTGAATTGCAGATAGATAATGTTTGCATAGGCATGTCTGTTATCACCTGCAAACGAAATTCAGCAAAAATTATGAGTTAACAGATCTTTCATTGATTAAAATCACTGATTTGCTGTGTTTTTGGTAGATGGCACTTCGAATTCGTTGGTCCACAGGATTTCCCCTTAAAAGATCTTGTTTTTCTGCTTCTCATTTTTCCCTCACCATGTCCTTGTGACTAACATGGCCAAAAACCGGTTCGAGGCCGGGTCGGGCGGGCCCAAATTGATCCCGGGTCGAAACTCGAAACAGTGACAATTCGGACCGGTCTTGACGTAACCGGTGTGACATACCTCAAACTTCATATTTGCATATAACATATATTTCATATTTAAAAAAATACAGACTGCACCACATTGGTCCCTCTGGTGCAGAGTTTCTTTATGTACATAATTTACAACTGAAAAATTTCAAAAGAAAACTCTGAACTATCACATGTATGAGTACATGAATCTTCAAAATAAACAGATTGATCTTCAAACACAGCAGATTAGCATATCTATACTACCTTATTAAGCAGATTCACTCAAAGTCTTAAAGTCTTAAATTTATAAATACCCAAAATACCCTTTACCTTTACTTTACTTTACTTTTACTTTTCATCAAACATCTGATGATCCCCAAACTGTCGCTTCGATTTACCGGCACCCCTCTCCAAGATGACGTTTTAGAAAATGTCCCTCCCAAGACGACGATTCATCTATACAACCTCTCCCGAGATGACGATTCCTTTAAAAAGGAGTTTCTGTAGGTTTCCATCGTTCACCGTTCTGTTTTATTCTCCATTGTTTTATACAGGTTTCCATCACCCTCACTTTGTTTTCTACAGGTTTCCATCACCCTCGCTCTGTTTTATTCTCCATCGTTCAGTCCTCCATCATTCAGGTAACTTGAAAGCATTTCAGGTAACATCGCTCTCCATCATCGCTTTCATTTATTTGGTGTTTTGGGTTTGTTTATTTTAGGGTTTAGGGTTTTGCTGATTTGGGTTTGCTTGATTTGGGTTTGTTTATTTTAGGATTGTTTGCACTGTTATTTCCATCGCTTTCCATTGTTCACCGCTTTCCATCGTTCAGTCATCCATCTCTCTGTTTTACCCTCGCTCTCCATCACCGCATCGTTCAACTTGAAAGCATTTCAGGTAACATCGCTTTCCATCATCGCTTTCATTTATTTGATGTTTTGGGTTCGTTCAACTTGGGTTTGCTGTTTAGGTTTGTTTGCTGGTTAAAGACTTATTTAAATGACAAACCTTTTCTTGATTGTGCTGAAAACATAAAAACCAGTGATTGTTTCACTTGCTCTACATCAAAACGTTGTTGCTAAAACATCACCGTGCATCTAACTTTGACATTGATCAAGTCACTGGAAATTTGGAATTCTCGTCAAGTTTCTCTGTAGGGATGCACATTAGAAGTCATGCAATCTCCCTTTTTCTCTTTTATTCTTTTTGAATATTTGGGTTTGTTTATTTGGGTTTGTTTATTTTAGGATTGTTTACACTGTTATTCAGTGAACAAAATGTTAAATGTATCTAGCTCATATCCTGATCCTTGGCTATACATATTTGTGCTTTTAAGTAGTGGCTGCTGCATTACATCTTTGTCACACATAAAGTAGCACATATGACAAGGCATACATGCATATTGCACTATCAACTTGGGCATAATTGGTGCACTGGAACTCTTCCATATAAGGGAATTTTTTTGTAGTTTTAACATACTTTGGTTAGCTTACTGCATTGGTTTAATATCTTCTTCGTGATATAGTAAAAACTACCAATCTGCTTTCTTAACCAAAAGAATTGTTATTCAGTGAACAAAATGTTAAATGTATCTAGCTCATATCCTGATCCTTCGCTATACATATTTGTGCTTTTAAGTAGTGGCTGTTGCATTACATCTTTGTCATTATCGTTCTTTCATTTATTTGAAAATGGGTTTTAGTGTTGATGATTTTGTTGGCCACTATAGCCCTATGTATGAAAGGATCAACCAACTTCTGTGTGTTGTTTTGATTTAGACCTACAAACATCCATGGTTGGGTGTTCATGGTAAATATTACTCAATATTTATGTGTAGGTAAAGAATTTGGTTGTTCGGATGTCTTGCAAAACTGTTATGATCAGGGATGTGTGGTTTAATTCCATTAGTTGCAGATATGAGAAATCTAGCATAAGATATTTAGCACATATGACAAGGCATACATGCATATTGCACTATCAACTTGGGCATAATTGGTGCACTGGAACTCTTCCATATAAGGGAATTTTTTGTAGTTTTAACATACTTTGGTTAGCTTAGTGCATTGGTTTAATATCTTCTTCGTGATACAGTAAAAACTACCAATCTACTTTTTTAACCAAAAGAACTTGGCGAAGGACATCATTCATTATCATGTTTGGATTATTTTGTACTTCAATTGGCCATGCATTTTTTTGTTGTCTGTTTAATTCAAAGTTTGTCAACCTAGGAGTTATGTAGAATGTTAAAAGATACATTTAATTACATCTCTATGTGTGTGTACATATCGTATTGTTCGGATTATTTTGTATTTCAATTAGCCATGCATTTTTCTTGCTGTCTGTTTTATTGAAAGTTTGTCAACCTAGGAGTTATGTAGAATGTTAAAGATACATTTAATTACATCTCTATGTGTGTGTACATATCGTATTGGTTGAGGCATGCAATTCTGCTCTGTTTTTATTTTCTGCATTCTTATAACTTTGTCTTCCATCTTTATCCCTTTATGTACTATGAATATTGTACTTATAAGTTCAAGCTTTACCTCAAGAAGTTTTAAGCACAATCTTCACTCTAATTATTGGTTAATATAAAATATGAAATACACATAGTACTTTCAGGGACCTTCTAGCCAATGGGTTTATGTAATGAAGATAAAAAGAGCTATTCATGAGGGGGTCATTAATAAAGTAAACCAACAACTTTATCATTCACAATGAAAAAATGATACCACTAATTTGGGTACATTAGAAGTCATGCAATCTCCTTTTTTCTATGTTTATGCTTTTTAGATACTAAATATACCTCAAGTATAGTTCTATATGATTCAAATTCGATACTATGCAGAGGTTAGCTTAGGAAGGGGTAGAAAAACTGTAACAATGCGAGATTATTATTGTTACAAGTTCCAAATTCGGTCGAGTAATAACGTCATTCTATTAGGCGGAAGATTATTTCAACAGTTCGTGGTTGATATGTACATCAAGATAGAGACTACACGTTTGTCTTTTATTGAAAGGAATCAAACGAAGATAAGATCAGACTTATACCAAGGTGTTGTGGATTGCGTCAATGCCGGTGAGGTTCAACCAAGTAGAATTGGACAACGGGTTGTGCTTCCTGCAAGTTTTATTGGAGGTCCACGTGATATGCGAAGAAGATTTATGGATGCTATGACTTTAGTTCAAGATGACGGGAAGCCCGATATATTCCTTACCATGACGTGTAATCCGAAGTGGCCTGAAATCCTTAAAGAGTTATTGCCTGGTCAAACCGCGCAAGATAGGCCGGACTTTGTTGCAAGAGTTTTTCATGCCAAATTAGAGGATCTTAAAAATCAACTCTTCAAGAAGCACATYCTYRGCGAGGTTGGGGCATATGTTTATGTCATCGAGTTTCAAAAACGTGGTTTGCCACATGCACATATCCTCATGATAATGAAACCGGAACACAAGATTACAAACCCAGACCATTACGACAAGATAGTTTGTGCTAAAATCCCGGACCCGACAAAGTATCCTGAAATGCACGAGCTGGTGATAAAGCACATGATGCATGGTCCTTGCGGCCATTTACGACCGTCTAGCCCTTGTATGGAAGGTGAGCCGAGAAAATATCGTTTTAGATATCCTCAACAATTCAACGACAAGACGGTGCAGACAGATAACTCATATCCGATGTATCGGAGGAGAAACAATGGAATAAAGGTGAACGTCCGGGGCAATATCCTTGATGATAGATAGGTGGTCCCATATAATCCAAAGTTGCTAATGATGTTCAACTGTCACATCAATGTTCAGGTTTGCTCAAGTATAATATCTGTGAAGTATGTGTTCAAATATGTTTACAAGGGTYATGACAAACAGGTTATTCATGTCGATCCTGATACAGAAGAGGTCATTGTCAACGAGATAAAGAGATTTCAAGATGCACGATATGTTTCGCCACCTGAGGCAATTTGGAGGATTTTTAGCTTTCCACTTTCTCAAATCCACCCTTGTGTGATGGATTTGCAGGTCCATCTTCCGAATAAGCAGCTGGTTAGGTTCAGAGATAATGATATAATGACAGATATCGTTGATAGAGACAAGAGCTCAATGTTGACCGCATTTTTTGAGAGGAATAAAACATATATGAGTGCGAGACAATATTTATACAAAGATTTTCCGAAACATTACACATGGAATGCCAGTTCACGTAAATGGAATCCTCGAAAACAAGGATCAATGAGAGGACGACTGGTTCATGCTAATCCTGCCGAAGGAGAACGATTTTATCTACGCCTACTTCTGTCTCATATTAGTGGGCCCACGTGCTTTGAAGATATTTACACGGTTAATGGCATAATACATCCAACATTTCGCAAAGCAACACTTGAGAGAGGTTTAATAGAGACCGATGATAATTTATCGCATTGTCTTGCCAATGCCTCCTTATTTTAGTTTCCCAATGCTCTTAGACGATTATACGCAACGATCTTGATTTATTGTGAGCCGGGAGATGTTCGCAAGTTATGGGATGAACATTATGATTCACTCTCTGAAGATTATAGACGAGACTACGAAAATGTTGAGGGAGTCCGAAATATGGTTCTTACAGACATCGCCTTCTTTTTACAATCTATGGGTAAAAACCTCGATGATTTTGATCTTCCAAGTTTAAATGCAGCTGTCAATTTAGAATCACGAGGATTTCGTGAGGTACAAGAGGAGTACTCCATAATTGTGCAAGACGAAGACTTAAATGCTCGAAACTCTCTAAATTCCGACCAGAAACATGCATTTGATGAGATCATGAGGCATGTAGATAATGATTGTCCAACTGTGTTTTTTGTAGATGGACCGGGTGGAACTGGAAAAACATTTTTGTATAGAGCTTTGCTAGCTAATGTTCGTTCACGTGGACTTATTGCTCTTGCAACCACTTCATCCGGTGCTGCCGCTAACAACATGCCAGGGGGGAGAACAGCTCACTCTCGATTCAAGATTCCCCTTACTCTTAGTAATAATTCGGTGTGCAATATAAAAAAACAAAGCGGAACTGCTCAACTACTTCGAGTCGCAAAAATAATCATATGGGATGAAGCATCAATGGCAAAGAGGCAGGCAGTAGAGGCACTCGATAGAACAATGCAAGACATCACTGGGGTGAGACTTCCATTTGGTGGGAAAATAATGATTATGGGAGGTGATTTTAGACAGGTGTTGCCAGTAATGAGACATGGCACTCGAGCACATATCGTAGACTCAAGCTTACGGATGTCACCTATTTCGTCTTCGATTAAAAAGTTGCGGTTAACGATCAATATGAGAGCACTTACTGATCCATGGTTTTCGGATTTTCTGTTACGTGTCGGCGATAGAGATGAAGAATCAGTAGATGGAAACTTTATTCGCATACCTGATGACATGGCCATTCCTTACACAAATAAAAATGAATCGAATGATGCTTTGATTGATGCAATCTTTCCTTCTCTTCAAACCTACGAGACTGCTTCAGATTATATCATTTCGAGGGTGATACTAACAACAAAAAATGAGCATGTCGACGAGATTAATGATTAGTTGATTGAAAGATTCTGTGGAGAGGAAAAAATTTACTACAGTTTTGATGAAGCAGAAGATGACAAGAATAACTTATATCCGATGGAGTTCTTAAACTCACTGACTGTTAGCGGTTTGCCCCCTCATTACCTCCGCCATAAATTGGATGTCCGATAATACTATTGCAGAATATCGACCCCTCAAATGGATTGTGTAAAGGCACGAGGTTGATATGTAGAGATTTTCAGCAGAATGTTATCGATGCAGAAATAGCTGTTGGTCAGCATGCTGGTAAGAGGGTATTTTTACCAAGAATTCCTCTATGTTCGTCTAAAGATGATATGTTTCCCTTTAAATTAAAGAGAAAACAATTTCTCGTTCGACTTTGTTTTGCCATGACAATCAATAAAGCTCAAGGACAAACAATTCCGGTGGTAGGTGTTTATCTACCAGAATCGGTATTCTCGCACAACCAACTTTACGTGGCATTGTCCAGAGGGATATCACGTGGTAATACGAAGGTATTAGTGAAACCTACCAAAAAGTTCAACTAGGAAGGAGTCTACACATCAAATGTGGTGTATCAAGAAGTTTTGAATGATGATTGTGTATGATAAAAACATGATTCTAATTTCTATTTTGTTTAAACATAAATTTTAGACTTTCTGAATGAGAAATTGCATTAATTTTTCATTTTCGGATTTTGATACAGATCTGAACCACCAACTATTTCAAAAAAATGATATTTAAAAATTGAATATATATCCTGATAGAACATTTACATCCTGTTGCATTGCGCGGGAAGTTGAATATATATCTTGATAGAACCTTTTACATCTTTTCAAATATATATCCTGATAAAACCAAATACAAATTTTGTCCGTAGTCGATATGCCCATTTACATCTTTTCAAAATTTCACATCCCGCCGCATTGCGCGGGTATACAACTAGTAAGGAAAATAATCAGATTTTTCTCTTCCCCTTAACATCCCGAGACCCTGCTCGTCCTGCAATGCATATTTAAGAAAAAACACAAAATGAGGGTTAGACCGGAAGGTCTAATGAGATAACCTTTTTTTTGCAATTACAGAGTGAAGATCACCAAACTTTATTTAAAATCAACTTTTCATATAATCAAAATCATGATCTCTGAAATGTATATCGTATATAAATACAGAGATGTAAAACTCTTCTGGTTCAACTAGTCAGAACTCCCCGAAATTTTAAAGACCAGCGCCCTTCTGGTTTTAAGACCAGAGCTTCTTTGTCTCCAAGAGACATAGTTCTTTTATTAAACATCTCCTCTAGTTGCCCAGAGCCTCTACTCCAATCAACCAGAGCTTCTTTACTTAAACTCTCAGAATGATAAGAATTTTATTCAACCGGAACATAAATTTTAAGAAAAAGAATTATTAAAAATATAACCAGGGCTCTTCTGGTTCTCTGTTTTTGTTTGTAAAGAGATATTTAAAAGATTAAGACTTGAAAGAAATTAAAATAAGATAAACAAAGCTTAGACATAGAGTTTTATACTTAAAGATTTAAAATTTACAACTTTCATGACACAGAGCCTCTGTAAGTACATTGTTAATCCTCTCTCTCAGTGATTTGATGATAATCCCTCATTTTACCTTATACGAAGTATTTTATGTTTCTGTCTTTCAGTTCCAGCGATCATCATTGAGTCTGTTCAGTGATGATTGAGAACATGTAATGTAAATTCATCAGCGACAGCGATACTTCAAGAAGACAAAACTCACACCAAAGAACCTTCAGCGAAAGTCGAAGACTGAAATTGAAGATTAGAGACTGGCGAGTACGTGATCTGAAGCGGTATTCAATGATTACAACCTGGTCTACATATGTGTGAAGATTGTCCAAGCTTCAGCGAATGCTAAGCTTCAGCAAATGCTGAAGAGACTTTCAGGTTATTCCAACATTCAACGATCAAAAGAAGCTTATTGAGCACGATTGCTTTTGTCTTGTTCTCATACACACAAAGGACAAACCCATACCCTTTCTAAAGTATAGTATGGTATGGAGCCGATTCGTTGAATATACTACCCACCAACTTTATGAAAGGATGTCTGCTCATGAATAGGCTTTTGTACTATTCACTGTCGCAAMGGACAAGTCTTTCTCTAAAGGCTTGATACGTGTTCAAACCCTACTACGTTGCATTATATGTGCATTTAATGCAATGGGTATAAATAGATATGTTCTATCTTCATGCAGAGATACTTTAATACTTACTCTTAAAACCTAACTTATGTTTACAAGTAAAAGAACAAACATCTAAGAACACTATACGCTTATCTTTAAAAGCAAGTTAGAATCCCCTTATTGTATTCTAAATAGTTCTTACCCAGAAAGAACTTATTTTCTTCTAATTCTTTTACAACAAATCTTTTCTCTATTTGCTAAGAACTAGTGTGTAACTTAGATTGTTTCGATAGGTTATTTTTACATTATCTTTCTACAAACAACCTTGTAAAATTTGTATTGATCTTTCTTTATCAATATATATATATATATATTTTAAATTTGAAAAGTTTACTGTGTTTGTATTCATCTCCCCCCCCCCCTTCTACAAACTGTTATACACATCTTGTAGACCCTAATCTGACCAACATACATACAGAGCCTCTGAGTCCTATATATCTTGAAAACACTTTGAAAGACTAATCGCATGACCAACTCCTTGATACAGAGCTTCTATATAGAACGTACAGAGCCTCTAAATCATAATATTCCTGAAAACATTTGAAAAGAGTTCCTGTATAACCAAGTCCCCTTTAGTTTATTTTATAGACCTACCAGAGCTTCTGTGGTTTTGAGTACATACTTTGAAAATACTCAAATGACCAGAAGCTCTCTGGTCTAGGCTGCAGACCAACCAAAGCTCTTTTGATTCCGATCAAATACTTATTTTCTCACAATCAACTATAAAACTGAAAACTCTGATTTCATAAAAACCATTTGAAATCAAAGGCAATTGATGCCTCTGGCTAAGAGTCGATTTCCCCCTTCTCAATAACATCCAAGTTATTATTTCAGTAAGAGTTATATCTCTAAGTTCCCAAATCACAAAGAAATGTTAACCTATAGCTATTATCTCTTACTAATATAATAACCAGAGTTATCCAACTGCCACTCTTTTCCTATGGTATGCTACCCTTATCTCCTCCTCAAATCTACAGAGATGAAGAGTTTCGTACTAGAACAAACCGAAGTCACAACTGCCCCATAGAAACATCATTTCCAAACAGAACAGACTGAAGTCACAACCGTCCTGAAGGAACATCATCTGTAGTTTTAGCCAATAATGGCCTAAAATGAGTTTCATACCAGAACAGACCGAAGTCACAATCGTCCAGTAGAAACATTCACAAAATAGTTTCGCACTGGAACAAACCAAAGTCAAAATCATCCCATAGAAACTCTGTCTCAACAGAACAGACCGAATTCACAATCGTCCTGAAGAAACCTTTGAAAACTTCTTACTTTCAAAATAGACCTTATGTCACAACCGTTTTGAAATAAGATTTAAACAGTATATTTTCCAGATTTACAACCTTATTTGAAAGATACAAAAACACTCTTTTAATCTCAAAAGGTTTAAACATACTTCTATCGGATAATACTATCCGGAAACCACTTTTATCAAATAAATTTTCATCGAACAACACTGTCCGATTACAAGTTCTTCTTAACCTTTAAATTTCTAGAAAATAAACTCATATTAACTACACAAATTATCAAGAGTTCCACAAAAATCTAAACCCTTAACAAGTTCAAAGGCTGGATATTTGAAACAAAAACTCATCTTTAAAATACAACAGAAACAGCAACAGGAACTGCCCAAAATTCTAGTTTCTGAATTTTTAGAAGAAAGACAATTTTTCTCTCACACTATTTTCTTTCCAAACTTTGAAGATAACCTTCTTCCAAAAGCAAACTCTCCTTTTATATTGCCTTTAAGAGGCGGTTTAGAAGGGATAATAAAATTCAAAGAGGTAGTGTGGAAGAAATATATTTTAAACTCTTTTCCATAAATATCTTGTGCATACACAGACACACACCTCTCAAATTGGCATAATGTAATTTATGCACACATATACGTCATCACAAAACCATGTATGTTAATCATGCATACATAGATGCATATTCCGAAACTTCTTGCATACACATTTTCTCATACATAATTATGCATATATTCATATAATCAAATAATAATCATGTAATGATTATCTCAAGTGATTAATTAGAAACCCGGTTATCACAACCGGTCTCAATCCCAGTCAAAAAGGGAAGGCCCAATTAAGGTGTATGAGACCCGGTCCTGGGTCGGTCCAAATCAGTCCCAATTATATTTTTATTTATTTTTTTAAAGTTGATTTTTAACATATAACAAATATTTTTTTGAAGAATTTGAACAATCGAAAGCACTAAAAAATACGTTTTTATTATAATTTGGTCAATCAAAAACACTAAAAAAAATATGTTTTTGTTATAAAGAATTTGGTCGATCAACTTTAAAATACATTTAAAATTATATTTTAAATAAAAAACCGAGTCGAGTGCTTAACCGGTCCCGGGCCGGGCCTTGTTTTTGGTGAAATATAGTAACCGGTCCCAAACCGGTCTCAATCGGTGTCGAGTCGGGCCAGTCCCAAGTCGTTCCCGGTCTCGGTCCTCTGCCGGACCAGGCCCGTTTGGCCATCTCTACCGATGACTGCAGTAAAACGGTTTAAACATTTTCTTAAACCATAAAATATGATCTTCTTTGAGTTTGTGCGTTTAGACAAATTCGTTGTAAGGTAAACAATAAGGTTAGATTATTTTTGAGGTATTTTTGGTATTAATTTATTTGAGATGGCTTAAAGGGATAAGTAAGAATCTTGGTTTATTTTATGTAGCCATGTTGGCTTAATAGTTTAATGATTACGTCATAAAGAATGAACAAATAACTTGTTCATACCATTAAACTGTAAGTAAATAACCCCTACAATCAGTTGCGGATCCATGATTTTTGCCTAGTGGGGGAACCTTTAAGGTAGACTAAAGGTTTGCAAAGTCGGCTGATTAGGTTTTAACATAATATCCCGTTTTGAGGGATTTTTAAAGTTTTTTAGTTGATTTCGAAGGATTTTTTAGTTTTTTTTTTCTGAGACTTTTTTGGTTTTTGATTAATTTCAAGGTATTTTTTTACTGGTGGGGGTACACATAGGAAATTACCAGGGAGAATTATAGTAGAAAGTTATTTTTATGTATGTAAAAGAGGAAAAACAAACATATTTAAAGCAACAAAAGGGGGAAGGAGTGCATACCTCTAAAGAATCCATATACTTTGGTCTCAAAACGTGGATCGAATGCCAAATTATATATTATATATTAGAGATGGTTAAATTGGAACGAGTTATGATCGCTTATAAGTTTTATGGGATTTCAAGGTCCAGATCAGCTCGGGACCACTTATTAGGGGTGTGTAGAAAAATGTCAACTAATTCAATTAGAATCGATAGATCCAATTAGAACCGACTTATCATAATTGGATATTTCCGATTGTAATTGGATCGGATCGATTGAAAATTTCAACATCCAATTTAAATCAATAAGTTCTTGGATGGCAGTTCAGAAACGACCGAACCGACAAACATCAAATTAATCATCCAGTTATTCCTTCAACCATTATACAACTATCGTGCTATTCATTTGTTTTTAATTTGCTTAAATCGGAATTTGTTTTGTGTTCTGAATTTTTAGCTTGTGTTGGTTTTAACACAAATTATAAGTGATTAATTAATTTGTTTTATTGTTAGAAAATTTGATTGAATTAACACGTTGGATGGATCCAATTCGATATTGATCATCCAGTGGATGTCGAACGGATCCAATCCTATTAATATTGGTTGGATCCAATCTGATCCAATAAAACTATCCAATGGATGGAACCGATCCAATCATCTATTGTTAATCGGATTGGATCGGTTGACTAATGTTAATCAGATTGGATCCATTGGCAAAATCCAACATCCAATAGATGATTGGATCGATTCGGTTCCCTCACATCCATTAGATGTCAAGCGATAAACATGTCTACCATTTATCTATATGACCCATTTTCAATTGTTTTAAGTTTTTATTTATTACAATTACAAGTTTTTCAAGTAATCCATTATTTAAAGTCTATAATTAAAACATTAATAACATTTTTACGTACACAAATTTTAAAGTACATTATTTCAAAAAAACCATGATGGGCCCGGACCCAGTTACCGGATTTTGGGTCAGTATCATCCGGCCCGATTTTCAAGCGACCAATTTGAAACCCTAAACCCTACTATTTTTATTTTGCCATCTCAAATATTGTAAGAGCATAAGACTAGGTTTAGCTATAGTCTCTAGATATGGGCGTGGTCTAAGGCTTGGGCTTGGGCTTGGGGTTGGTATGTTGAATATTAATACTTCAATTTGAATCGTATTTTATTTTAGGGTAGAGACTCGAGCATCATATTTTCGAATCGAACTGAAACTGGACCAAAACCGGACCGTACGCATGTAATCGGTTCGGTTATATCAGTTCCAATTTTACATCAAATTCGGGATTCAGTTTTTTGGTTATCGGTTATCAGTTCCAAGATTTTTGCGAATACAATCGAACCGAATGAGAATTTAAAGGGACACATGACTATTGAAATTTCATCTCTATTTACTCCTAAACTATTCATATCTTCTCTATAACTATTCTTATCTTCTCTAATTTGATCAAATATTTTGGCCCTATTATTTTGATCAAAAAATTCGAGCACCTCAAAAAACGGCTCAATCACCATCAAAAAAGTCGGCAAAATGGAAAAGGGAAAGAGAAAAAATGGAAAAGGAAAAGGGAAAAAGAATACTGAAGATTAAGGGGCCGTTTACTAAACACTTACTTGGTAAGTGTTTAACGCATGAATTTCCTCATTGGATGAACATGAAAAGGGCCAAGAATTTTACCTGGTAAGAGCGATGAGAAAGATGAAGAGTCTTACACGGTAAGTGAGGATGACGACTCTTATCCATGTAAGCACTTACCCAGTAAATTGTTGTATTCAATATGTTTTGATATACTAAAATCTTACGCATCAAAATAAATTATAGTGTTGACTCATATTGGTAAGCGCTTACCGCATAAACGGCCCCTAAGTACTTCTGTTTGTTGAACTTTTATGCTTGGTTTTTGTACACATTTGACAGATTTTCAAACATTATGTACTTTTGTTTGTTGAACTTTTGCAATTGGTTTTGATATACATTTGAAACATTATGAACTTTTGATTGTTTCTTAACCCCACTTTCATATTTCAGTCCTAATTGGTCCTAGTACCAATTTTCCTGTCTTGAAACCTATATCAAACCGGTACCCAACTTGTAAATACGGTTCCGTTTTTGGTCCTAATTTTGAGTCCCATAAAAAATGGGTACCGTTATCATCCCTATTTTATTTATTCACTTTTATCAAATATCATCTAGGGGTTCATTCAATGTTAATGAGAAGTTGAGAACCAGAATAAAAAATTACAAATTTATGAGAACTAATTTTAATGTATTTTTTATATGATTTTTTTCTATCAAAGTTTTACGTGTATTTGTTTTATAAAACTTTTTAATGTTTCATAGTGAAAACAAAAAGGGTTCACATTTATTTTTTTTACAATATGAATATAAAGCCATATGAAAGAATATTTTAAATCATATTATTTCATGAAGAAAATCATGTAAATAAATATTTTTAAATTAGTTCTCACATATTTGTAAATTTTTTTTGTTTTCATTTAATTATTTCCCATCTGATATGCTTAGAATCAACTATAACTTAACTATATCATAACATATAGGGCCTAGTCAGATGAGAATTGTTTAGTTTGTGGTAGCCATGAGATCCAATATTAACCAATCATTTTATTATATTAATTATTTTTATTTAATTAAGTTAAGGGTATATTAGTAATTTACTTAATTTAAATTAAATAAATAATTTGTGTCTGTTTCAATCATTGATTTCAATCCAGGGTTACGGTTTCCTATTTCATTTCAACTAATTGATTTTTCAAAATTAACGATTATTATATTAGTTTGGATGAAGATTTTGTATGCGGTTATCGGTATAATCATCAAGATAGGTGTTCGAGGATAAGGAAGCCCTGTTTTCTATAAATGTGATACATACATAATGAACAGAAGAATCAGGCTTCTGTATCGATGCCTATTAGTTCCAATGAAGGTTTACAAACTGATATGGATATTCAAATATGGGAGAATACAGATGATTTTGATATTGGATTTTCAACATACAATATGGTGGAACGCTTAGGTAATCAAGATAATTTGGGTTGTTAGAGGATGTTGTATCTTATGGTATGAGTGAGGCAACATGTTATGTACCAAATAATGATATGCAGAATGATGAAGGTAGAGGTACATATTTCATGCTTTTAGTAAATAAGTTCTATATATATTTATGATCTGTGTTATAAGGATTTGTCTAACATTTTGTTACATATTAATATAGTTTATGGATAAGAATAACAAATTAAGTAATGTTTTTAATTAGATTGCCATGTGGTAATCTGTGGTACATCAATACATCTTTGTGGTTCATCAATACATTGTAACTGTGGGTTTTGAAATAATTTTATGTAGAGTAGTTTAATGTTTCTTTTAAAGAGGATTTTTGTTGGGTTGCATTGTTGTAATCTATGGTACCTAAATTCATTGTAAGTAGGTGTTTGCAAATAATTATATGTAGAGGTTAATGTTTCTTTTTGATAGCTTTTCCGATGGATTTTGTTATGCTAACCTGTGGTACCGTAATGCATTGTAACCTTGGATGTTTAAATCCATGTTTGTAGGCAATGATCAATCATATTCTCATTCCTTCATAATTTTGCCAGGTGGAACTAGGTGGTGGACTACCACGGTTGATGAATCGGTGAAACCCGCTATTGGTGATGTATATTCTTCTTTAGATGTAGGAGAATCTGTATACCAGAAATATGTTGAGATGGCAGAATTTGAGGTACAACATTCATCTTAAAAGATAAAGAACGATGGGTTAATCCAAAATAAATATTTTGTATGTAGCAAGTTTTGATTACCATTGAAGAAGTTGTTCGATTCGTTCAATCACTGTAAACATCAAAGATAGGTACGTAACTCGAATACTAAGAGGACTGGGTGTACAACATTTGTTAAATTTCGATTGATGAAAGGAACAACAATATATGAGTGTGACAGTTTTGAAGAGAAAAATTCGTTACGAAAATCCCGCCCAAATGAAATTTTTAGATCATCGTTTCGTTCATGATGTTGGTACTTCAGATATGGGTACCACACGGATGCACAAGTTCCATACATCACTAGGGGACATGAATATGGTGTTTCAACAGTTGTTGATTATCATAACTATAAGAGAGACTATGATGATTTTGTAGGTCGTGGTGATATAAAGGTGTTGGTTGATTTGAAGTCCAAGATGGCAAATCCTAATTGTTTTTTCCGAGTACAATTGTATTGTTAGTGAGTTACATACTATTTTTTTGGGCTGGCGAGGTAGCTCGATTCAATATTCTAAATTTGGAGATGTAATTTCGTTTGACTCTACATTCCATACAAACATGTGGGTATATGTTTTTATATATGTTATTGACCGTCCTTGTATTTGTTAGTGTTTTATATGTTTATTGTTATAAACACTTCATGGTGTTTGTCCCACTTACAGCGGTCACCAACCATAACTGTAATGTCGTTGTTGGATCGGCATTGGGTGGCCATGAAGATGTTACAAATTACAAGTGGTTGCTACAGATTCGAAAATCCCAATCATGGTACTTACTGACCAATATGTTGCGATGATGCAAGCTATTGCAATCGTGTCCCCGATACAAGACATAGGCTGTGTATATGGCACATTATGACTAAAGTGCCCAATAAGGTTAGACAGATTATACACTTGTTCTATTTTATGGATTGTTTTATTTGTTTACGTATTTTATTTTGGTTGCAGTTCAGTTAAGAGCTTCTTAATAACACCAAGCTTAAGAAATAATTTTTCAAGTTGGTATGGAACATTCACGTAACCACAAATGAATATGAGAATAGATGGAGGATTCTTAGTGAGGAGTTCTCTCTTAAAGAACATCGTTGGTTAAAAGATATGTTTATTACAAGATGAAAGTGGATCCCCACATATTTCAAAGAACTTCCAGTGTGTTGTCTCATGAAGACAACGTATAGGTCGAAAAGTGGGAACTCATTTTTTTTTTTAAATTCTTTTTCAAAGAATGGGAATAATATTTTCTAATTTATGTTAGATTTTGAATTTTCCTAGGAGAAACAACCTAAGAAACAACGTCGTCTTGATTATCATACGAGGACAATCTTACCTAAATGGTTGACTCCTAGCAAGTTGGAGAGGCACTCTTCTGGCATTTATACACGTTCCATATTCTTTGAGGTGGGCAAACTGAGATAGACCTGGGAGCGTGGACATTTTCAATTAAGAGTGTCAACACAAACGGGGAAGTTGACGCGTTTTAATTGAACATTTAGATAAAAGAGAGGAGAAAATAACATAATATAAAGTACACTTTAATATCAGATCATGTTACGAATTCATGTTATTTACGTTTTTTGTTTTTCTTCCAATGTGGATCTTATATGTTTCAACCTTTATATTCTGTTTTGGTTGTGCGTATGAAAGATTTAACGATCGTTTGTAGTTGCAATCATATCGATCGACATGGTTACTTATGCAGACATGTTTTTAAAGTGTTGTTTAATACATATATTGAATCTATACATGAGAAATACATTTTGGGACGATGGAGACACGATCTTATGTTGATTGAACTACAAAATAGTCGTCAAAGAATATTCTACGTAGACAAGGATCAACATAGATGATTAAATGATACATATGATGCTATCGATAATGTGTTGGAGATCTTAAGGGATGACAAAGAAAATTAGCATCGTTTTTGTCGACTATTAAAGAGTTGAAAGTTGGTTTTTTCAAAGAACATACATATGAACCGGCGATTAAACGTAAAGAACATGGAATAGAACAAATCCTTGGTTTTGTTTACAACTTAATAACGTTAATATACACCCCCTTACAATATAAGGAACAAAGGGTGTGAGATGTCCAAAAGAATGGTTTGTGCGGCTAAGAAAGCGACAATGAGGAGTAGCCGACCAAAGAGGTTGTGTATTGGATATAAATTGCTTTTGAATCATGATATCTGTAACTACGCAACGAAGAAAAAATAGAAGGACCCCAAAACCTTCGAGTTCTTGATGTTTTCGAACCATTTGTTTTGATCTTATTTCCATTTAATTGTTGGATTGTATGGGATTTAATTGTCTAAGCTCTAATTTTCTATGGTCTTATATTAAATATGCTATGTTTTTTTATTGGCTAAGTGTTTTTTACATGCTTGATGTGTTAAACGGATGGTTTTTTTAATCACTCCTTTTAACAGTATTATCATTGATTATGATGTCGTTTCTTAATCGCAGAACTTATGATGTAGTGTGATGCATTTTGATTCTATAATGAAGGTGATGCAATAAGTGAAATTATTATACTATACAGTGTATTGAGTATAATGGCAACATACTATGATCTAATGTAATACCATTAGTGACAGATAGTTTTGTAACAGTTAGTCTGGTCTCCTTGGATAAGCAACATAAATTGATATAGTGTTAAAGGTTGACTCATTGTGATGCATGTTTACAACATAAGGTTGTGATGATTTATGACACATGATGATACATTGTCCCTAGTAAATTTTTGCATAGATATAAAAACTAACATCCGTTCATTGCATAACAAAGTTATAAAGTGAATAATATATCTTAAAAACCATATTTATATTCACCAAGTTCAACCATTGTACAAAATGATAGTGGCCCAAAAAACAGTTGGAATATCCACTAAGATAAAGTAATATCAAAATATTATCAAACCCCAAAATAACAGACTAAAAAGTACTATAACGTATTTGTTCCAAAATCCTAACAAAAGACGACCTATTTCATAGAAAGTAAGTGATTATGAAATTTATGTAGTTTAGATGCTTGTGAGTCGTGCTTCTCTGATTGCCTCTGCAAATTTGAGTAGATATGTTCTCTCTTTCACATCCAATGCGCTAAACTTTTCACAGTCTGCTATCACAAATGATTGTCTCAAGTTGATCTCTGAAAGCAAAAGTTTTTCAATGTATTTCCTTCTTAGCAATTGCAATTGTTTTGATTGGGTTGGTCCTTCCACATCAAAACTTGATTTGTATCTGTAAGGCAACTCCCCCATGTAGACTCCATATGATGCATCTAGAACACACCATAATCATGTGAATTCTCTTTTGAGCACCATTTCACCGCAATCCAGACTGATCTAACCCAACAAATTCCTCATATGATGCATGTCGTACTTTATATAGATGTTGTATCAAGAGGAAGTATGGCACGAACCAACTCAAAATGAGTGTCACACTCTATTAAAAATTAATGATATGGTTGTTGATGTAAAAGCATAGTCAGTTTCATATTTCTCACCAAAAGGTCTGATATTTTCTCATATTAACTAGGGGATTCCATATGTTGTTTTAGGTTGTCTATAACCAATATGAACAAACGTTTATAGTTGAACATCACCACAAAGAAGTGCATGTCTCAACGATGGGAAAGAATAACTGCGAAGGTTTGGGTTGCGTAAAATGTAATATGTAAAAATAAATAACAACCTTACTAAGCATTAACGTACCAAATCAATTGATTTGAATGTAAACAACTTTGCATCACCTCCATCTGCTGCAAACATATTGTCAATAAACATCTTTAGTTTGAGATCGTCGTTTGTGTTTCCATCAAGTATGGTTGTCGACTGTTTAAATGAGTTTATGATGAGATAATGTGTATGTTTATCTATATTATGTATAATAACAATAAAAAAATATTATACTTACAAGTATTGTGTTGTGCATAAACAACCTTCACGATGATGCTTTGTTTCTGAATTGTTCTCTATAGTTTAGTAACGCCGCCCAAATGTCAATAATATTACTATATATTTCTGTTCTCGAACAAAGTTTCTATGGTGCTTCTCAAGGCAACAACACCTGTGGTGGTCTAGAATACCGGTGACTACAATATGTTCTCATATCAATTTATAGCTGATTGGTTCTACAACAACATTTACCCAAGAACATATATTCATCTCTGATGTTGGTTCCACCGTATCGATCTCTATGCATCTCTTAACATAAGGTGATCTGAGTGAGTTCCCTAATTTTGCATCCCTCTTTGTTGTCCTCGGTGAATCACATATGGATTTTATTTTGGAGTTTAATGAAAACAAGGATTTTTTATTAGAGGAATAAATGTTATTAGTTAGGAACTCTAAAGCTTCTTATAAGGTGAAATACCTAAATCTAACTTTGGTATTTTAATTGGCTTGAATTCTTTTTTCTTAGCATAAGCCATGAAAGAATCATCAATTTCCATGTATTTTGGTGTTGTTCCAAACAGGTGAATCTTCAAGTGGTGCACCTGGTCCAAGTTGGAGTCCAATCGTTGAAATTGGGCTTTGATCAAAATCTGTTGTATTTTTTTCTTGTCTCTTTGATCCCTTGATCCTGTTGGACGTTTCAAACTCCTGATTTTGGTTTTGATCATGATCAAACCCCCATGTATGTAACACCTCCAAACWCCACATTTGCATATAACACATATTTCATTACATAGAAATATAGTTTACATCATAAGGTCCCACTAGTACAAAGATTCCTATATGTACAAAATCAACATATAAAAATTTCCAAAACAAATCATGTACTTAATACATGTAATACAACATGTATCTTCAAAATAAGCAATCTTAAGCAGATCTTCAAAAGCAGATAACAGGTTAGGAAAATAAACATATTTTCCCTTTCTCTTTAATATCCCTGGACCTTGCCATTCCTGCATTGCATAATTTTAAAACAAAAAATGAGGGTTAGACCTGAAGGGTCTAGTGAGTAAGTCCATTCTTTGCAAATGCAGGGTGATAAACACTAAAATATAATAAAGTAACTTTGATCAGAAATATTTTTAATACAATCCAATGATACAGTTCTCAATGACATGTATAAAAGAATAAACTCAAGAACCTCAGTTCTATTACTAAAATACATCTGCTTAAAGATTCAACATTCTCAATATGAAACAATATTGTAACCAAAGATTCTTTGAATCATTAGATCATTCCTTTGTAAATATTAACGGAAAGGTTTAAGGCAATACTTGCCCTTTATGACAAACCATTTTTCCTTTCTCAATAACATCTAAATTAATATTTCTAATAAGAATAATATCTTTAATTCATCAGGTCACAAAGAAATGATGATTAAATACAATTAAAAATAATAATAAGAGTTATAATAATATCCACATATGACAATGCCTCCCTTATTCCAAGTACACCTCTCCTTGATATGCCACCCTTATTCCTCCATCAAAACAGGGCTACTTATTAGAACAGACAAAAGTCACCACGTCTGAAAGTACCCATTCCCAGTTCCAAGCCATAACAGACAAAAGTCACCACGTCTGGGGGAACTACCACTTAAAACAAGTTTCGTACCAAAACAGACTTATGTCACCACGCTTGGTAGAAACAGTTTACAAAATCCAATTCCATACCAAAACAAACTTACGTCACCACGCTTGGTAGGAAGGTTTCCCAAAATATAGTTTTATACCAAAACGAACTTACTTCACCACGCTTGGTAGAAACATTTTTTTTCCCAAAAATCCAATTTCATACCAAAACAGACTTATGTCACCACGCTT